GCAGGTGCAGGTGCAGGTGCAGGTGCAGGTGCAGGTGCAGGTGCAGGAAGCCAAGAGATCATATCTCAACTCTACATGGGAAGCAAGCAGAGAAAATAGGACGTGGCGACCGGTCATGAACCGTCAAAGCCCCAGCAATGTGATGTGTTTCCCACAGCAAGGTTCCACTTCCTAAAGGTACTATATCCTCTCCAAACAGTGCCACCAGCTGGGGACCAAGTGGCATTGCTCATTCAGACCTCTTAAAACCATCAAGTCAGACCAGCTGGACTAGTGCAGGTGAAATGAAGCCTGGATAATCTAAACCCAAGGATAGTTTTCTGCATTTGTAAATAAGTTAACATGCACAGATTACTTTAAAAAAAAGGTATATTTTCTTTTCAATTCTATATATGCATGTGTGTTTGTGTGTGTGTTACCTGTGGAGGTAAGAAGAGGTCATCAACCCCTGGAGCTAGAATTAGAGGTGGTTGTGAACTGCCTGCCCTGGCTGATGGGAACTGAACTTAAGCCTTCTGCAGGAGCAGTAGGCAGGCATTCCTAACCTCTGAGCCAACCCCCTGCGTTTCTCCTTTACTCTTTAACATCACTAGGAAGCTACAGAACTGACTTTTCAAGATGCTTTTAAAAAAGGATGGCGGCTGTCTTCACTGCATTGATTCTTAAAGTCACTTGAACTGGTATAGCTCAGGCATGTTCAGATTATTGTTTGGAAAACTTGATGCTGCTTTTCTTTGTTCAGAACCTGCACAGGTATTCCTTTCCCAGGTTTAACCACTGCCAGTAGTGACTGCTGAGACGCAGTTTGGCAAAGTGTGTCTGTCTTCTAAACTGCTTTATTCTCCATGTCTTAAACTCACTGATTTTGCAACAACGTCCCCTGCGTGTTTCTCATCCTGATTTTTTTCATGAGCAGTCATTCCTAGCGGTTTTATGTGTTTGGTCTAACAGAATAGCTTGTCTTAATCTCCATTTTTCCCACTATCAAAAATGTCTATAGCATGATTAACAGGATTCTAATTAAATACAAATATTGTTGGGAAAAATGAACAGTCCTTGCATGAATGCTGAGAGGTAGCAACAGCACTTGCAGATACGTCTTACTGTTGAGTGAACAAATCAAACTATGTGGTTGAAAGTGCTTAGAATACAACTGGCTATTTTCCTATCGTTCAGCTCTTATTAACTATGAAGTCTTCAAGCTACTTCTAAAGTTTATTCCTGAATAGGGAGCTGGGCTGTATAAACTTAAGTCCTACATTAGATCTTTCCTTAAACTAATTAAAAAAAATGGTTCTGGGATTAGGGTCCCCTTGGTGAAATTGTTGAGTTGTAAAATTTAAATTTCAGGCTTAGGTGAAGGCCTGAGAACATTTCAGCTACTGTTATTTAATTATTTTCTTTATTTTTCCATTTAGTTCTGATCCCGCTTGCTGCTCCTGCTGACACCTAAGCTGAGGCGGCGATGCTGCTGAGACCCTTTCAGCCCACAAGTCAACCTACTTGGTAGGAGTGTCTTTTAGCCTCAAGGCTTCTCAAGTGCAGCAACAGAATGATCTAGAAATGTAATTGAAAATAGAATAGCATAAAAGATATTAATGGCTCTGAATATTTACTATCAGTGTATTTCAATATATTGATAATAATTAAAGGTCTTTGAGTTTTGTCAGTGCTTTGGAATATTAAAAGAGAAAAACTGTGACTGGATATATTCATTTTATTTTTGAGTGAAGCACATAATATGATTCTCTAGTTTATGTCATATTAAGTTGTTCTATTCATTTTCCCTATATGATTTTTTTTTAAGTAAGATTTTATTTCATGTGTTTGGGTGTTAGCCTGCATGTGTGTATGTGTACTCTGAGCATGCAGTCCCTCAGAGGTCAGAAGAGGCTGTCAGATCTTCTGGCAAATGTTTGTGAGCTGTCATGTGGGTGCTTAACTGCAGAGCCACCTCTGCCCCCAACCGCATAATTGAGCTGTATGGTTCTCAAGCATGACCTTTGTATATGACAATGTTGTGTCACAGTGTCAAATGGTTGGGCATGCTGTGGGACTTTTTCTTTCAATTCTTCTGTGCCCACTCCTTGTCAGGTGGTTCCAGCTAGCAGACCATCTATTCGGTATCTAAATGTAATCAAAGGATCTTCTGCTGATTGCAAGACTCCCAGCAATGGAAGGAAACATTCTGGCTGTGTACTCTCAGTCATATCCCGAGGCCTCCTGGTAACAGTCATCCCCTGCACTTGATTTTATTAGTTCAGAACGGAAATATGTGGTGCTAAGTGCTGTGTACTTCAGAAGCCAGGGAGCTGGATGGTGCTTAGAGGTCAGCACAGTCTGCAGTACTAACAGAGTAGGCAACAGAGTATTTTGAATTTCTGTGATCATTTATCTAGGATGCATCTAGTAGTATTCATTATTTCATCCAGTGCTAGAATTAATAATTGATAAAGTCTCACAAAATCAGCAATTTAAGAAACACTTTGAAAAACAGGAATCCAAAAGTCCTTTCAGAACTCACTAAAGGTGTCTGCTAGTACTAGAACTGTTAGTAACAGAATCAGTGTTAGGAATGAGGGCACTGTGGGCTGGAGATTCTGTGAGCACAAAGCAGCAGGAATGCAAGTCAGTGTACCCAGGAAAGGAGGACGAAAAAAGTGAAATTAACCCTACAGTCTCTAAAGTAGGGGAAAGAACGACAAACAAGAATGAGTATATATACATACATATGTATATATATATTCAGCGCAGTTTTTAACATACTCTGCAGAAAGAGATGTATAGAATAAAAAAGACAAAATGGCCAAATGTTAATATGGCAAAGTGGTTTTTAAAGTCTTTGGAGATTTCTGTCCTTTTCTCCACAGACCGAGACTTGCCCCCTTCTATTGTTAAAGAATACTTTGAAGCTTCATGCTGCTGCCATTTCTGATTGTGGACTCAGTCACAGAAGCATACAGCCTGTGTCTTCTCAGTTTTCTAGAGTTTTGGAACAAGCAGGACCTAACAGCTCTGGGAGGGGGCTGCCCTGTGTATGTGCTGTGCTGTGTGTATGTGTGTGTGTGTGTGTGTGTGTGTGTGTGTGTGTGTGTGTGTGTGTGTGTGATTGGGCCCCTCCCATCCCCACTAACATCTGTGACTGATGAACTCTGAACACCTCCTGCTAAAGATGGACCTTAGCAATTCAATTCTAACAAGAGGACTGGAGATGCAAATTCATGCTGAGTACCAGTAGACATTGTATGCTGTGTGTGTGCTTAAGTGCATGTGTGTGTGCATATGTGTGTGTGCATGTGTATATACTTGTATAGCATGTATCATTTGCTCACATTATTTATCACTGTCAGTCACATATTATGTGCATTGATTTCTGCTTAGTGATTTCCAAATGTTTACTCACTGTCATGAAGGCTTTCAATATGGAGTTGAGGAAATCTGAGTTTTGGACCCAACTATTTAGAATAGTCATGCGACCTGTCCAGTGTCTCTATGATTTTCTATACTTATTCCTAAGTCATTTGAAATAAGACAGTTTTCTAGCCTCAGAAAGATGTTTAGGTTTAAAAAGCATATGGCAGTGTGCCTTTCCATCTGAATGTGCTGTATGATGGGGTGGAATAGCACAGGAGTTCATATGTAATCCTGAATGCAGAATAGACAAGTCTAAATGTCATCAGTCAGCCGCTGTTCCTTTGCTTAAATTGGGTTGAAGTCATAAAAATGCGAAGTCTACCTTCTTTAGTGTTCCAGCCTTGAGCTTCATGTGTCAGTGGCTCTTGGCTCTCAGCCTTAGCAGTCTGAGCTCCTAGCAGCTGTCAGCAGCTAGTGTTGACAGCTGCTCTTGGCCACCCTCTCAACAACGCTCTGTCTGCTTGGCATTTTCAAAGCCAGTAGCTCCTGGCGTTACCAGCTCTCAGTGAAAGGAACTCAGCCCACCCTCTCCCTTATGTAGACCTGAACAGATGATAAGCCATCAGAACATGGTTATCCTGGGGTTTATACAAGCTGCTGTGCTTGGAACAGAGGTCTGAAACTGGCCTCATGAGGATGAATGGATGCTACTTATGTAGCGTTAAAGGGTGGGCTCATGCACAACAGTCTGTGGCTCACTGTCCTGTGTTACCATGCCAGCCTGTACAAGTGTATTGTGCTTACCTATCCTGGCCGTCATAGGAAATCTGAAGTGCCTGTAGTGTGGATACAGATACATGGAGTGCTGAATCTCTGTGTCCAGGGACATTTAAAGAGGGACCACTGCAGGAAGGGCTCAAAGGAAAGTGTCAGGAATGGTGCTGGGCAGCTTTACGTCAACTTGACATAAGCTGGAGTCATTTTGGAAGGGGGAACCTCAACTGAGAGAATGTCCCCATCAGACTGCCCTGTGGCCAGCCTGTGGGGCTTTTGTCTTAATTGATGATTGATGCAGAAGGACCCAGCTCACTGTGTCTGATGCTGGCCCTGGGTAGGTCATCCTGTGTTGTATAAAAATGCCAGCTGAACAAGTCAAAAAGTGTAAGGTGGTAAACAGGAATTAAGATCACCCTAGTGGTTGCCATAACAACTTTAGAAGTGATGGTGACTCCTTCACTGTTGTCAGAATGATATCCTAGATCAATCCTCAAGGCAGCTACACGCACGTCCCCAGTGGAATCCTCAACCCCTATAGAAGCAGTGGGAGGTATTATTGTGGCAACTGCGATGCACAAGTCCAGAATTCCCAGGACTCCCAGCAGCCATGCCTGATCTAGGCAGATTTGTTGACCATCTGAACCCCTTTAGGATGGTGGTAGTGATTGCACTAAGGAGCCTATCATTTATGGCTGCAAGTGGAGGGATGGGAGGTGCAGCTTGGCTGTCAGTTTGTTGGCCTCCTAAGGAAAAGACCATAATTCGATTGGTATCTGCTGTTTTGATTTTGAGAGATGGGACTATCTTCTGCCCCCTGGTTTGGATTCCATGTGTGTTTCTTGGATAGGACCTCCTTCCTTCTCCTGTTATGTCTCTTTAGCCATGCCTGCTGACCGGCACAGCCCTTGGCATGCTTTTAGTGGATAGTTTCTTCATTTAATCTGAGAGCCTTGTTCTTTAAGTGGAGGTTGTTTGTCATCTTTATCTCAGTAGTATTATTCAGATATTTGAAATGTAGGTCTTTTTCATTTCAATGACTTGGAACCTGAGGGGCAAATCTACACTGGGATGTCTATCCTATACTGATTATAAAAGTTTAGAAATAATTTCTCTAAATGTTATCATTCAAAAATATATATACCTCTTTACATGTACACCTAGTCATGCATATCTTATTTTAGTTGATATGCATACATGCACACACATTTGCACACACATACATGCATACACATGCACACACACATGCACACACACACACACACACACACACACACTTAGTGTGTGCTGGGGCTTAAAAAGAGGACAGATTACACATAGTAGAAGGAGAGGATCCTGCTCCTGTGAGAAATTGCATGGCCCACACAGCATTACACTGAGTCTCCTTGGCAATTCAATGTGCATTCTAGATACCAGGTAGTATTTGTATTACAAGGAGCCATACTGGATCTGGACCCACAGAGACCTAGGATTATTCCCCTGGCCTGAGCAAGCTTAGGTTGTGGCATGAATATCCACCACATATATACAGTGGTCAGCCAAAAGCTGATCATATGTGTGGAATGTAAAAAAAGAGAGTGAGACAGGAGTCTCAGGCTCATGCATACTGCTTGGTGCAAGGCAGTGTGAAGAGGTGAAGGTCCAGACAGCTCATCCATCAGTGATTTAAAGTCTCTGATAGAAATGAAACAGCAAAAATGTAAACCAATGTATCTCTTTTATATGTTGGAGTTGATCATTCATGGCAAATGAGAGTTAAATTGAGCGGGACTCTCAAGGAGAGAGGGGAAGAGAGAAAATGGAAGCATACGGATTCCAGGATGCCCCTAATTCTTGAGCAGACAGACCACAGCTCAGACAGAAAAGGTAACCATTTAGCACAGTGCTGTGCTTTGGTCCGTGTGATATTCATTGTCCCTCTGCCTCCTCAGTTTGCATTTCTCTGAAGTGTAACAGAGAAGATATGCTTAGGCAGCGTGGCTGCAGAGGACCACGTGACTAATTGGATTCAAGAAGCCAAGCTCTTGCTTTGACTGTGGGAAGGCAGAGATAGTAGTGATGCTGTCTCCTGGGAGGCACTTGCCTCCACCAAGGGTACTGTAATACCCTGGCAAGTAGATCCAGTCCTGGCCCAGGGAAATGAAAAGCTCGCCCTTAAGTGAAAAGACAGAGTGGGCTCCACTGAGCATTGTGTCACTATGTGTGGTCACAGAATCAATACTGCTGGGACCGCTTGTCTGCGGAGGTGAATTACAAGTTCGTGTAATTAGAAGGCCAACATCTGCAGCCTGGATAACTTAGTTCAGTGTATATAATGCAGTCTGTGCCACCCAATTTAGCTCTGCCACATGCCACACTCTTAATTGCCTAGCATGCAG